GTCTTCTTTTTGCGTATCTTTTGCTCAATGCAGTTGCCATTTTGTTACTTAGTGGTGTCTTCATTTCATCCATTTTCTTCAATGCAAATTTTAGGGAAACATCAGCTGTAAGTAATGTTGCATCGCGTCGACATAGCGCCTCGACGACAGTTTTAATAACATCCAATATTTTATGGATCTCATCTATATTTCTCCAGTCATCATCAGTAAATGCAATGTCTGTTTTTAAATCAATTAAAGCTTTTGTAATAGATATTTTCAATTTCAGAAACCGACCTAACATGGCAGAAATGCTACTCCAGCGCGTTTTTCCATCTAACAGCAGGGAGTACTCCTGTCCAAAATCAGCTCTGACATGTTTTTGAAGGATGTCATCATTTTTTGTCGGAGAGTTCTTGAAGATTTTTACCACTTTTCGTACTTTTGATAGCAGATCATTGTATCTAAAAGACTGTGAACTGAAAGACTCCATAAACGAGGAATCATTATTAAATTCAACACCATCCTCGTCATTGTCTGTAGAATTCGTGTCGTCGTTAAATTCTACAGTTCGTAGTCTTTGAGCCAATACCGATAAAGGCAAATCTTCATCATCGTCAAGTTCGGCAAGCTGAGCGACGTTTTCCTCGAAGCCGGCATTGCGTTTGTACATTACGTCCACAATTGCCAGCTGAACGGCATGAGCGATGCATAGCTGATGGCATGACTTAAGGGACTTCCCTAATGCAACCATTAGGCTGCAACCGTCTGTGGTTTGAGCGACGATGTCATTTGTTAGAGATACCCCATATTCGTCCAACTTGGCCTCAATCAATTTTACGCATGAGGCTGCATTCATGGACCCGTGAATGCGTATGAGACCTAGATTTCGAAAACTGCTATCCCTTGCAAAATTTGGTGAATGTAAAGTGAGCCCTATATATCTTCTATTTTTAATGGATGTCCATTCATCGAATGATATCGAAAACTTCTTTTCATCTGACAGTATAATTTTTATCTCGTTGATTATTTCTAGCTTCCTTTTATCAAAGTCTTTGAGAATTATGTTGCGAACGGTATCAGCAGTAGTGGGTAATTTGTTGCCGGTCTTTTCAAAAAGGTACTTTAAATCTTGAGATTTTGAGAACGTTCTAAGAGGAATTCCATCAACTGCAGCCATACGGGACACCATAACCTGCATACTTGGGTTTGCATCAGTCTCATAATAGTGTGTCAACTTAGTTTTCTTTTTAGGCGCTTCGGGAATTTCTTTTGAAGAAGATGCACTACCTTGAGCTGTTGTTTCGATTGTTGAATGCCTTGCAGCCTCTATATCAACAGCGTGAATATTCTTTAAATGTCTTCGTAGACTGCTAGTACTACCACCGGCTGATTTCAATACTTTTTGGCATGTTTTACATTTAGCTTCATTTTTGTTTTTGTTTATGAGAAAATAGTGCCAAACAGATGTTTTGTCTCCTTCCTTACTAGTTACTACTCCAAAATCCATATCTTATTGATTTATGGTCAACGAAAGAGATTCATCTGAAAGGAAACTTAGTTTTATTATAATAATAGCAATCCTATTTTTTCACGATGTAATGCGTGCAGGCTGCGCGGCCGTACTTACATTAAAATTAAAATACCAAAATACCGTAATTACATTAAAATACCAAAAAAAAGTTCAAATACACCTAAAAATAGCGCGACGAGTGGCGGACGACATCACGTCAATATATCAAATAATTGGATTAGTTACATTAGAATCCTAGAACAACAAGCTAAAACTGTAAGTTACGTTTTATTGAATAACAAAATTAATTTAGTAGATACTCACGTATAAAGAGCGCGTACACTCCTCACGTTCACGCCGCCCGCGCTGTCGCGTCGAATACTTATGGCCGACTGACTAAACAAAATGGCGGAGGTATTCATCACCCGCGCAACGCGCGAAGAGCTTCGCTTCACCCTCCCCTCTCCACTGCGCCACAGTTTACCCCATTCATGTCCTGAGATAGACGCGCGCGTTCCATTTAACTTGCATGGCTTGTTTTATTGGTAGGAACGTAGCAATGAAGCTACTTTTTACGTAATAAATAATAATTTATCAAAGCGTGTTTTTATTCCATTTACTTATTATTGCATTCGAAGTGGCTTAAACTTAATAAATAACAAAAACAAAAGTATTAAAAAAAACCCGAAAAACCCGAGTTTTAAAAATCAAACCCGGGTTTTTTTATAATCCTCAGAACCGGGAAAACCCGGTTTTTTTCGGTCCGGGTAAACCCGGGCTCGATGCCCTAGTTCGTACCATCAACTTTGTTCCTTTACAATCTGTAAACAAATGAACAGTTTACGAAATTGTAAACAGACATTACAATTGTGATCTTGAAGCTGCGCACTTCCAGAAACTTGACCGAGGCCTTTACTTACAATCAAATCAGTTCACTAAATACATTATCTGTGTTGGAAATCGTAGCTTTGCAAATTGTTGTTCATCACATTTGGGTGTTTCATCATCCTCTGTAATTTAGAATGCAAATAATATTCCGTATCTTATACGTATTATATTGATTACAACTAAAATTACTTTTCATAAACTAGTTAACAACTCACAAGTTTCTGTTTTTTCGCCTCTTAACGAATTCTAGTAACTTTTTTTACGTCTTGGTGTACTTATAATGATGGATGGACGGATGGGAACATCCATAACATAGATCGTTCTTTAAAACATCTTTCATCAATTCTCATCGCATGAAATTTGTATTCACTATAACAACTGACGTCATATATATATATATACATATTATGTTGGTTAGAGAGCTAAACGAATGTTTTCTTTTATGTGTGTACTTGAATATTTGATAAATATTCTTTCTAAGGAGACGCCTATGCAGCAGTGGAAGGCTGTTGATGATGATAAATATTTGAAGTTACATAAAAAACTAAGTATAGTAATTGTGTTCGCAACAATTTTCCTTTTTGATGGCGCAATTTGCACATAGGTGATGTTTTTGAATGATAGCTCTTTTAGAATAATAGCTTCCATCCGTGGTCTTTAAAGTTATTAAAAAAATTACGGTAAAACTTTTTTGTTTTGGTGGGAAACACAAACGTGAGAAAACGAGTGCATTTCTTTTAAAACCTACAAATATTATATACATACATTTTCATTGGTGTTTTTGTTTTGTTTTCTCATAAGCAATAATATAGATTGTACAGTAATAGTTAAACTATATCTTAATGTCCACTATCAATAAATCTGGTTGTGTAGCTACTTAAAAAGTGATAAGTGATATACTAGTAAGAAGTGTATAATTATAATCCAAACCACAATAGAGTCAATTTATTTGGAAACAAAATGATTCTATCTCCGTCAATCAATAAATGCTAATGATAAAAACTATCATCAAATGATGTGTTTGACGATAACAGACCAAGCAAATGAAAAAATGAAATACCTCACCCAATTACTAAACCAGTTGGACAATTTAAATGTTATGTTAATAGTATTTAGATTGCATGTACTCAATTTCAACAGTATTAGTAAGGCGGTTAAGGATACATTAATAGGAGTATTCAAGATTGTATACGTTCCTTTGTTGATTTAAAGTGTAACATCATATTTTTAAATAATATGTTTGTAAACCTATTTTATAGAAATCTTTGCACTTACTGGAACACAGTCATGATACGCGGAATACTTGAACGGACCGAGATATGACCTCCGTCAGTAGATAGACTTATCGTTGTAATTATAACTAGAGATTATTTTAGAGAGCACACGGTACGGCAGAATTCTGCTTGAATTGAAGTTCGGTCAAACAAATGATTGTACACTGATATTGTACTTAGACTACTAAAGAGGACTGTAGAAGAAGACATTTGAAAAAACAATAATATGATAAAATTTTAGCCTTGAACGAGTTTTTTATATAAAATAGAGTAAACATAAATGTGTAATCAATACTCGTATAAAACATGGTAACATACGGTTTTTTTTTCATGTTTGGTTATTTAATCTTATTGACCTACTTGTTCCATATTATACTTTATATGATAATATACGTTTTATATAAAACTAGCCTTTTTTTCGGTTTCGCTCCCAATAAAGTAGGTAATTATTACAGCCCTCGAGAAAAGTCTGTGTTAAGTAGAGAGGTATGCCACCTCTGATGAGTTTCTCTCTATCCCCGGCAATTAAAAATCTTCATTATGATCGGATGAGTAATGTAATGAACTAATAATAATAATAATTTATTAGCCAACATATTTTAGATTCAAGGTAAACATGTTTCTAGGTATCATAACCATCACATTATTTCATTGAACTCTGGTACCCAAGGTAAGATTAAACTTGTGGTATGGGTAACCAGGGCTCTCGCAATGATTCAGATGATCGAGTGAAACAAACAAACATGAGCTACCTGTAGCATTTTTCAATTAAGTTATTTTCTAATTACTGAATGTCAGAAAATATATATGTTAGATAATCTTTCGTTAGACGCTAACGATAAAAAAAACTCTTTTAACAAACGGCATGACAAATCATAACATTCTTCGCAGATCGGTTGATGTGAGACTATATTGAGTTTACTGATTTAAAAAAAACTTGAGCGTTTCAACGTTGTAAAAAATTCAAACAGATCGGTATAAGGCTGTAGTTGATTAATAATTAAAAATTAACGTTAATTTTTATATGAATGCAGAAAGTGATTTGATTTAAAAAATCAACATGAGTATTTTATTGAGATCAATTGTGACATTAATTTCAGTGTACTATGAAGACTAACGAAATTTTAAAATCATTCGTACACTAATACGTATATGTCAATGATTGTATATTATATAACTTTAACATATTATTTTGTATATATTTTTATGTATATACTACTATACGACTTTTACTACTAACCGAATTTTAGCCGACTAATTATAATAGGTATACAATTAGTCAGATAAAATTCTACTTAACAATTTGCCATCTAAAGCTGATATAAGAAGGTCGCAAAGATACGTACCTTGATGATTTGTTGTCCTGGATCAGAGAAGAACACCTCCTTAACTCGTTTCTTGAGTGGGATGGCATTGTACTCAGCTTTTTGTTGCCATATCAATCTGTTGTTATAACTTGATCCCACAATCAGATCTTTACAATAGCTAACACAAAGGAACGATAGAAGTACAAAGAGCAATATCGGCCCGGACTTCATGTTGAATGTGTTGAATAGCGTGTGTAACTTGTTAGGTAATGTGGCTCGGTCAGTGGATCTCGATCGACTGCTTAGTTCGCCTTCGTATCGTTCATAAAAACACTCGTGTATCTTAAGCGTGAGCAACAAAACCACGGCTTGTGCACAATATTCAAAACTTACCTACGCTACAAATAACATTGATTTTCCTGATGTCGCCTTTATTAGGTATTTGTGGTGTTTTATTTTGTTGAGTCCACAGAACAGTAAATTTGTTTAATCACTGTTCTGTGGTAGAGTTACTAGAATTTACCACAATGGATTGTTAAGTAAATTGTTTTCGTAAGGCCTATGTAGTATTAAGTTCAATATTAACAAAAAAATAAACCATTATTGTTTTATTTTCGTGTTTACACATGAAAGAAAACATTTATTTATTTATATTTATTGCCAGCAATGTAATTTTACCACCCCTTGTGTAAAGTAATTTTTATGAATAAAAGGTGCGTTATGTCCTTTTTATATCTCGGGCAACGTATTTCATGGTGAGCCGACGAACAGAACTTCAGCTCTTAAAATAGAAGAAAGTTAATTTTTATGCATTGTTGTCGTGATTTCTTACGTAAATATCATTCCAACTTCACTGTGTCCTGTTTTTTGTTTATATTTTTTAATTTTTCGAAGCTCATGACATAAGAAATTTAACCATATCAAGTTGTTCTCTGTATTCGTTTGAGAGTTTTGAGAGTGAGAATGGAAATCTCTATTTCTTCATAATCATTTTTGGATACGCCACGCTTTTAATTAAAAAAAATATTAATCAGTGAACCTACAATTATATGAATACTGTCGTAGATAATATATTGTATTTTTTAAGATTTGTTTATAGACTATCTCGTTTACAATTACAATATAGCAAGAAGTATGGGGTCTACCAATAAGAACGTCCTGGTTTAAAAATTGAATAAAACACACCATTTTTTATGAAAAATGCATCCGATTGATTTATTTGATAGATAATTTTATGCAATTTATGTTTTAAATAATATATCGGCCAAATGACCGCCGCGGCTCTTTTTGCAGACGGTCACCCGCTCACACCAATTTTCGATGACGCGGTGCACCATTTCGGCCGATATGTCGGCTATGGCTCGTCGAATGTTGGTTTTTAGGTCACGAATTGTAGCTGGATTATTGCTGTACACTTTAGATTTAACGTAACCCCAAAGAAAATAGTCTAAAGGAGTTAAATCACACGATCTTGGTGGCCAACTGATCGGTCCATTTCTCGAAATTAACGACTCACCAAACTTTCCACGCAATAATGCCATGTGAGGTGGTGCACCGTCATGTTGAAAATAAAGGTCGTCTGCATCAATATCATCAAATTCCGGAAAGAAATATTCGGTTAACATCGAGTTATAGCGCTCGCCATTCACAGTAACAGGGTTTCCTTCGTCACTTTCAAAGAAGTACGGACCAATGATTCCACTATACCATAAACCGCACCAAACTGTTATTTTTTGCGGATGCAACAGTGATTCATGAACCACACGTGGATTTGACTCACTCCAATTTAGTTTATTAACAAATCCATTGAGCCAGAAATGGGCCTCATCTGAGAAGATGATTTTACGATGAAAATCGTCATCGGCTTCCATCATTTCCAGTGCATAATCTGCAAATTCACGACGGATACAATGGTCGGATGGCTTCAATTCTTGTGCTAAAACAATTTTGTATGGGTGTAGGCCCAAATCCAACCGCAAAATATTGTGGTCATTGGAGAGAGCCCCAACTCTTGTGAACGGTGTTGAACTGATCGATTTGAATTCGCATCAACACTGGCCTGAACGGCTGCGATATTCTCTTCACTACGGGCATTTCTTTGTCTCACAGGCACAGCAGTATCGTGAAGAGTGAATTCACTTTCAAAGGACAATGGCAGGTCCCCATACATAATTTTATTTGAACCGATATGTTAGCGTTTAAATATCAAAAAATCCTTAACACTTGAGAATTTATTCTTGACCATTCTCATATCAAAATTACTTGCGAAAGAAGTCTAGGAAAAAAGATATTGGATTTTAAATGTTTCGAGGTTAAGTACTAACATATTGTTAATGTTTTGTTTGAAACTAGATGGCGTTGTGTGTCAGATAGCCGAAAATATTATTTTCATTATTATTACAGTATATGAAATAAAAAAAATATCGAGTTTAACACTAAATTAAACAAAAATAAAATAACAAACGCGGTGAGTCCGGAACTTGACAGGATCTAAACCACAGATTAAGAGATATGTACTAAACGACGACGTATCGACAATTTGAAAATATCGATGTATGTCTATTTATGTGCCGTTATCAATGACAATGTATTTTTCTCATCACACTGTGTAGTGGAAAATAACGTAACCATATTCTATTTCTTTAGTGTGTTTAAAATCGTTTAAAGAGAGTCAAAAATATTTTAAATCATTTCTAATTATGTTGATTCAGTCACTCTACCGTACGAGTGAAGACGTGGGCAGAAGCAAATTCATAATCATAATAGTGAACCTTCGGTAAATATTTCAGCCAAAGCTATAAGAATCGATTATCGATAAATTGTTCCATAATATAATATTGCCACCACGCATCCCTAGTCAGTTATACGTGATGGCGAATCTGACATTACGTACTTAGGTCAAATAAAATCTTCAAAAATATCTTATCTTTTATAAGACTTATACAACACATGGTGGTGTAATGATAAATCATAGAAAAAATTTTGATTAAGTTTACTGTGACTCGATTTTTTAAACGCTTTAGTTTTAGGTAAATATGTTTCTGCCATTGTTCTTTGGTTATTATGCGATTTATAGCGCGCACAAAAGGAGCACTATGACGACCGTTTTTTGCGCGAAGCGCTCTTACTGTAGCGGTAGGAGAACGCGAATTTGCGTAATAATTTTGGACAATTTCCAAGCGTTGGTTTAAAGTGAAACGTGACATGATAAAATGGCAAACCTTACTGAATACAAATGTCAAGAGACGTCAAAGATCCATCATCAAATATGACCGCTATGATCTGTCAAAACCAGGTCATCCCTATTGGTAGACCCAGTGAATGGAGCGATATGTAATTGATGAAATTTCTGATAATCCAAGCTCCATCGTCAATATGTTAGGGGTAGATACGCGAATAGTGTAAAGTGGCCACCTATACTTTAGCTGGTAGCCTTATCTAGTAACAATTCTATCAACTTAGACACAATATGACCCTTTGCTAAGGTTGCTACTGCACGAATTTATCCTTGTTATAGAGAAAACTTTAATTTAAAATCTCTTTGAAAGACGAATGTTTGAGAATGGCCAAACAATTTTTATGTGTTTTTTCTTTTGAAGTATCATCCATGTATTATTTTTTTAAAGTCAACTTCTGCACTAGGAATATTATCCTGTGTTGCACGGGACTTTACAAACATACACATGAAACGGACACCAAGAACACCCAGAGTCAGAACAATAATTTATAGATCACGCAAAGTGAACCCACAACACTCAGCGCAGTAGGTAGCGACGAGGTAACTGCTTAAACCACTGCGCCATTCGTGCAGTGCAGTTTGCCAAAGAGCATAAGCTTACGGTTTAATAAAATTGTTGTGGTTGTTGAACACTTGAGGCTAGACTTTGGGTTAATTTTGAGAGTTGAGTTAAGTTAATTTTTACCTAACTGCGCTAGAAGGAGGGTTATGAATTTATGTATGTATATTTCTTTGGCACGCTCTGCAGCCTAAACGACTTAATGAATTTTGGGTTTTTGACCGTGGCCGGCACGATCGACAGACCTCGATCCAGGATATGCTCCAGACACGTATTCTAGTGAACCTGGATGGAGTGTTGACAACCCAACAACTGAAAGACTTGTTAAAATTCCAGGATCAGATAATCAATCTTATAAATTTAATGAAAAATCGTTGTGGTCAAGTTTTAAACTACAGAATCGGTCATACTTTTCATTGAATTACCGAATAATAAAAAAAATGTTGTATTTAATTTTGTAAAATATGAAATGTTTAATTTCGTTTTAACTTTATTTTATACTACGTATGTTACGGTACACATATTGTTAATTATTGTTATGGATTTTGTTGCTTAAGTCAATAATGCATCAAATAATGCTTAGTTTTAATTTATCAAAGAAATATAAATTTATTACAATTGTAAAAATCATTTCAAAGGTCAAAACCGTAGATGCTTACACTTTTTTGATGTGTGTATTTTGTTATCTCGGGAACAGACTTGTATTATTTTAAGATTAAAGGTATTTCCATCAGGTGAACCGTCTGCTCGTCTGATCCCTCTAACATAAAAATATCATTTTTTTTTCGTACTTTATTACCTTACCTTATATATTATTATCGTAACGATCGCTTGAATAGTTGAGGTTTAAAGAGCTAACATAAAACGAGATCATGATCTCATTTTTTTAAAGGTGGAGTAAGGTCTGACCGAGATCTGCGTCAATAAAATACATGGATGATTTCTATTTCCTCAAATATGAAAAATGGTTGCTCTATAATATTAACTTCATCCCCCATTTCTACCCTTTAATTTTTTCGAAAGATCACGCCATTTTTGCTTCCAAGGTCCTTCTATCTCTAAACCTAAATATGATGTATTCATTTATAGAGATAGAAATAATATGAATTATACATAGAAATAATGAATATGGTTTAGGTTTAGACAATAGATAGATATTTATATAGATTGATTCAGCATTTATATTTTAGTCGGCACGAAAATTATAGATTAAGTAAGTTGTTAATTAGAGTCTGTAGCTTAAAGCAGTTTAAACTCAGAGTTAATTTACAATAATCTACAAAATTTATCGGATGCCTAATTTGCTGACAAACATAATACCTCATCTACTGTAATTATTAAAATATTACTGTACATTTATTTTGTTTACACGTAGACGTTATAACTTGCTCTCATGCACTGTCAGGCGACTTTCTCAAAATTGTTTTTCAATTT